CCTGCCTCAGCTTTCTGGGGAGCTAGGACTACAGGTGCACACTACCATGCCTGGATTCCTTTAATAGTGTTTCTTATATCATTCTTAAAAGATACCTTCATTGAAAACCATAAAGAAACTGGTAATTTTCTTCAATTCCTACTATAACTAATATATAGACTCATGACCAAATTTATGTGCTTTGTTTTGCCCAGTTAATATGCTATGTAGAAGGACTGCTGTATTTTTATCCTTTTTACATTTTATACTTTATAGCTTTTTATACCTTTACATATTTAATTATTTGCTGAATTAAAATGGAAAGACCCCAAAGAACTCTTATGTGCTTTTTATTATAATAACATGTACTTCTATGTAACTGCACTAAGAAACCTCTTCTAACATTTATAGGAGGAGGATAGGGGTTTCTATGCCATCTTTAGAAAAGGAGATATTTCATTTGTGAGTACATGACTTGATTCAGTATAACTGAATGCTTCATGAAGTGAGGTGTGTTTTATAATGAAGTCTGTTACAGTATAAGTACAGTTCCTTACTGTTGGAATTTTCATTGCTTCAGTAGAATTTCCTTCATATGTTTCAAGGGCTGGTTTGAACCTTGTTTGCAAGGAATATGTTAGCTGACCTCTTTATTACCTTTTGGCTGGACATCTTAATTAAGGTACAGTTGGAAAACTCTTTAAATGTGAGAGTGTTCCCAGAATAATTAATGACTTTGAGAATTCATATAGTAGCAGTAAATCCTATTTTTATTTTTGTGCCTTTGCTGTGATAGGGCTGAATGTATATTAATATATATAACTACATTATTATGTATTTATACGTAGTGTTTATATTATATATTTTTAGTTTTGTGAAACAATACAGACTACATGTACAGACAACATCTCCTTAAAAATCTTTAATACATTTAAACAAATACAAGAGTCAGTTGTGTGTTAGTATGGAAAGAATGCCTGATTCTTAAGTCCAGGTATCAGGGTTCTGAGCAGTAACATTAGCTAGGTTCTCTTTCTGTGTTTTAGTATTGTCATGTCAAAACAAGGGAGTTGGTCTCCATGATTTCCAAATCCTTCAAGTCAATGATTTAATGGAATTTCAGCCTAATTCCAGTAATAAATGTTTTACCTTTTAGTTCAAAAGAAAAGAGTAATATTGCTAATGAACCGATTCTTTTATGTGCCAATCTGTGCCCTAAAAAGTTAATCATTGTATAATGTGACTACAGATTTGCTCTTTGTGAAAGCTCTTCTGTGTTGGCACCAACTTTCATTCAAGGGAGCGATTTAGATATTTCTGTAAGAGGTGTAAGGCATGTGAATCTGAACTTGAACCTTGTGGTGAGTTTGATTTTCTCCTTAATATACTGCTTTTAGAAAAGCAATTTTTCTTTCCCTGGCTTTTGCAGTTCCTTGCACATAGCAGGCACTCAATAAATATTTATTGAATGGAATTGAATTTGACCTGCTTAGAAGTCATAGTCCTGATGTAGGGTTATTCATTTTCAGTGGGAGCTGTCATAAATCAACCGGGTTTAATAGTAATCCAACTGATGAACTGCACACTCAGCGGCTTATAGTAGTTCAGTATTGTAGGTTGCACTTTCCCAGGTGCAAATTTAGAAAACAGTGTAGCAGCCTACAGGGCCTTAATGAACTGACTGCAGCCTATTTCAGATCTCCTGTACCACTCACTCATAGCTTTCCTATGCTCCCACCTTTTAGAATAACTGCATTTACTCTTAACATGCTTTATTTTCTGGTGCCTCTTAAGCCTTTGCACAATCTTTTGCCTGCCCTAGAACATTCCTTTTGTGAATTTTAGGTATATGCTTTTCTTGACACTTATGTGGATGTGAGTGAGCTGCTGCTTTGCTCCTGTAGCACTTTGTGCTCTCCTACATCATGGCACTAAATTCTCCTGTAATTCTTTCTTAAGCCACCAATCTTTCCCAGGAGACAACTCCTTGAGGGCAGATCTGTGATTTATTCCTTTCTGTGTTCCCTAGGGCCTGAAACAACGTCTGACACATGAATGTTTGTCGAATTAATAAATGGGTCCTGAAGTTCATGTAAATTTGCAAATGGAATAATATAAAAATGTAAATGAGTTTAGCATGGATCATTAATTATATGCCTAATTCTAATTAAATTGTGATATAGTTAGAAAGAAGATTACCCTGAGATTCAGAGGATTCAGGCCCTTGTGTTAGATTAATGATTTTTTAAATAGTCCTTTAATCTTTGTAGTTCTTAGTTTTTTTAATCTGGAAATGAATGGATTGGATGGGATCTTTGCTAAGATCCCTTAGAGGAAGAATTACATTGTTCCTGAGTTAATTATAGAGAACTAGGTCTCTTCAGCCAGGCTCCTTGAGTCAGGAAGTATGTTCTTCTAGTCATCTGTAATTTCCTGGCACTAAGCTCAGTACCTGGTGTATAGTATTATAGTTAGTCAAACAATTTTACCTGACAAAGCAATAAATTCTCACATGAAATTATAATTTTGAAAAAAGCAAATTAGGCAAAGGTCAGGTAGAGAATAGAAAATTAAATTTTTGTAAAACTTAAAATTATCTATGAAATAGCAGTTATTTGAAATGTCTGAAAAGAGTACATGGGAGAAATTTTTTTATTTTATCAGTTAAAAAATTCACCAGTGAAAGAAATGAATTTGAAGCTTCCTGGTCCCCTAATTTGCAAGTTAATAATTTATCAATCTGTGATATGTTATACCAAGTTTTATGTTGCTGAAATTAAACTGTGTCTGCTATATGATGTTGGCGGCCAATATTCTTGAAATTTATACATACTGTGGTAGTATCTTTGGTTTAATGTATTGAAAAAACAATACAATACTATGTCAGCCAGAATTTGTTAAATCATTGGCATATTTGGTACTTAATCTTTAGGGTTGAATGAGCTTTTCTGATTATGTCAATGTATTACAAACATAAAAAAGGGATACAAAAGCTTTATCAGCCCTTTTAACCATACTTTTGTAAATATTTGGTATTATTTAATAAATTAGATGCCATCTTCCCTTTCTAAGAAATTTCTTGGAGATGAAAATAATATTATTTCATTTAAATTAACCCTATACCTTTGGGTTATTAATTTGAATACTTCATACATATAAGGCACAATTGTGAGAATAAGGTTATAATAATACAATCAAATTATTTGTGTAAAAATTATATATCAACCAATTCCTCCATTTACTAGACTAGTTTTGGGTCTGTACATCCACAATTTGATTCTCTTTCATTGCCCACATATACTTCCAGTCTTGAGTACCATCAGACAATTACCAGATTTGAATTGGACCTTATTGATCCTGTGGTAGGCTAGTTAGCATTATTGGCACTTAAAGTATTCCTGAAACCATTCTTTTTAAAAATTTTCTAAAATTAAAAATAATTATTGTATATATTTGAGGTATACAACATGATATTTTGATATATACACTTGCATAGTAAAATGGTTACTATAATCAAACAAATTAACATATCTGTCACCTCTCATAATTACCTTTTTGTTGTGGTAAGAATACTTAAATTTCATTCTCTTATCAGATTTTCAGTATACAGTGCAATATATTTTAACTGTAGTCTTCATGCTGTCTATTAGAGCTCCGGACTTATCAGCCTGCATAACTGCAAATTTGTACACTTTGACCTACTTCTCTCCATTTCCTCCCCCTCCCTGCCCTGGTAACTACCATTCTTCTTCCTATTTCTATTTATTTGATTATTATTATTTTTTGTAGATTCTGCATATAAGTGAATTCATATAGTATATTTCTGTGCCTGGCTTATTTCACTTTTACTGGGACTGTTGACAATAGTTAAACTATTTACAGAAGTGATAGTGAAGGGAAGGCATACTGGGAAAAGACAGAAATTTTAACCAATTTTGTTTAAAATATCTTGCTCTTGAAAATATTACCAAAAAAAGTGTAATTATAGACTTAGAAGAGGCCCATGCATCCAGGGGATCCAGAAGCTTATGCTTCCTTAGCTTCTTGGTAAATCTGCCTTTTTGTGTAAATTTAGCCTTTTGTAAGAGTGCTGTACTGTTATGTTTTGTATGCTCTCATTCAATTACCAATGATTTTATTTTATTTTATTTTATTTTATTTTATTTTTTTTCTTTTTTTTTTAAGTTCCTAAAGTCTGTGAAAATGATTTTATTTTAAAAATTATTTATTTGGAGGGTTCATTATACCCTGTTTGGAAGGTAAGAATTCAATAGGCTTAATTACTCTGGGCTAAATCACATTAACATGTAGATGTGAATATGGTAGTTGAAAGTACTACCTTTTCTTGCTGGCAAAAGGTATCTTTAGTTATGTGGGGAGCCCTGAATACCCCAGTAGTTGGGTGGCACCTGATGGAATGACTGGACCGTTATGTAACACATGTTTATAGGCGTGGTAGACAATATGGGAGGTGGAAAAAAACCCGTTTGGACCTGACACCCATTTACTACTTAATAACTTGGTTATTAAAATTGCACCTCTTTTTTCTTAATTCTCTTCAGGGTTCAGGAACAGTACACCAAAACATTAATTAAAATCTGTGAGAGAGCTTTAGCTAGAAGTTCAGTGTAGGAAAATAATGTTTAAATGGTAGACATTGGTTGCTAACAGAAAACGCTCATTTCCTCATTTTTATTTTAAAAAAAAGACTGTCAGTGATATACAGTGGTTAGCACACTGTCGTTCTGTTAAACTATGCACAATGAGATATTGTAGAAGAATTAAAACTTAAAGAGGTGAAAGGATATAAAAAGACTGAATGGGAGGAACAAAGAAAAAGATTTAATTGTTTTAAGACAAATGTATTTGCCGGTTCTTGGTAAATTGGAGATAATAGTTTAATATTATAATTTATATTATGGAAAATGAAGAAATAGGAGATAGTTCTATAAATTTCTCATTTTCATGTGAAAGAAAATATTATGACTTATATAAAAATACTTTCTTATTGTCTTTTTTAGGTGAGACTGTGCCAAAATCCCAAACTTCAGTTGAAAAATAGCCCACCATATATACTTGATATTTTACCTGATACATATCAACATTTGCGACTTATATTGAGTAAATATGATGACAACCAGAAACTTGCTCAACTCAGTGAGAATGAATATTTTAAAATCTACATTGATAGTCTAATGAAAAAGTCTAAACGGGCAATAAGACTCTTTAAAGAAGGCAAGGAAAGGATGTATGAAGAACAGTCACAGGACAGGTAAGTGTATTTCAGATCTTTTTTCTTAGTGTTAAGTCCATTTATTTTGCTTTTTGCTGCACAGTTAACATAAATGTTACTGTGTAATTGTTTTGGGGAAAATGCCATTCCCTTTGTGTACAATCCTGTGTTGTTGAACAATGAGGATGCATTCTGAGAAATGTCTCTTTAGATGATATCATCACTGTGGGAACATCAGAAAGTGTACCTACACAAGCCTAGGTGGTATAGCCTACCATGCACCTACGCTATGTGGTATAGTCTATTGCTCCCAGGTTAGAAACCTGTACAGCATGTTACTGTACTGAGTACTGTAGGCAATTGAACACAGTGGTATTTGTCTATGTAAACATAGAAAAGGTACAGTAAAAATATGGTATAAAAATATAAAATGTATAAAATGGTATACCTTGTCTAGGATACTTAACATGAATGGAGCTTGCAGGACTGGAAGTTGCTCTGGGTGATTCAGTGAGTGAGAGGTGACTGAATGTGGAGGCCTAGGCTCTTACTGTACACTACTGTAGACTTTATAAACACTGTACACTTAGGCTATACTAAATTTATGAAAAAATTTTTCTTTCTGCAATAGTAAATTAACCTTAGCTTATGGTCACTTTATAAACTTTTAATTTTTTTTAACTGTCTTACTGTTTTGTAATAATGCTTAGCTTGAAACATGCATTGTATGGCTGAACAAAAATATTTCCTTTAAACTCTTTTCTATTTTTAATTTTTTTTTAACTTTTAAACTTTTTTGTTTAAAATTAAGACACACACACACACACACATTAGCCTAAGCCTAAACAGAATGAGTATCATTGGTACAGTGGTCTTCTACCTCAACATCTTGTCCTATTGGAGGGTCTTCAGGGGAAGTAACAGGCATGGAGCTATCATCTTCTGATAGCAATGCCTTCTTTTCAAATACTTCCTAAAGGACCTTCTGGAGGCTGTTTTAAAGTTACATTCTTTTTTAAATAAGTAGAAGGAGTACTCAAATAACAATAAAAAGTATAGTATATACATATTATACTTACTATATAATACAATACATACATAAACCAGTAACGAAGTCTTTTATTATCATTATCATGTATTATGTACTGTCCATAATTGTATGTGCTGTACTTTTATATGGTTGGCAGCCTAGTAGATTGTTTACACAGACATCACCACAAATTCATGAGTAATGCATTATAAGAGCTGCAACATCACTAGGCCATAGGAGGTTTTCAGCTCCATTATAATCTTATGGGACCACCATCTGTGTACTGGCTGTTGGTCACTGAAATGTCATTATGCTGTACGACTGTATTTGTTTTTAACATTACTTAATAGTTTTACATAAGTTTATTTATGATAATAGCAAGTTCATGAGACAGTATTCTTACTTTTTTGGTAGACTTTATTTTTAGAGCAGTTTTAGGTTTACAGAAAAATTATTCAGAAAGTGCAGAGTCTCCATAAATCCCCTCTTCCTTACAGTTTGTCCTGTTCACATCTTGCATTACTGTGGTGTATTTCTTACAGTTGGTGAACCAATATCAATATATTATTATTAAACGAAGTTGGGTTCACTCTTCGTGTTGTATTGTTCTATGGTTCATAAATGCATCATGTCATTTATTTACCATTATTACAGTACCGAATAAAATAGTTTCAGTGCTCTAAAAATGCCTTCTTCTCCACTTATTCATCACCCCCCCTCCCTGAACTCTGAACTGCTGCTGAACCTCTGCCTCTATAGTTTTGTCTTCCTCACAATATTGTATAGTTGGGCTCATGCAATATGTAACTTCTCAGACTGGATCTTTTACTTAACAATATGCATTTATGCATATATTTATTTAAATATATGCATTATAACAAAGGCATACATGCATTTTCCTCCATGTCTTTTCATAGCTTGTTAACTCATTTCTGTATGCTACTTTATGATAGCCATTGTTCGAATTGCCTCTCACGTATTGAAGAACATTTTGGTTGCTTCCAAGTTTTGGCAATTATGTATACAGTTGTTACAAATATTTGTATGCAGGTTTTCCTGTTGACTTGAGGTTTCAACTCTTTTGAGTAAATACCTACCAATTGTACAGAATGCTTATGTTTAGCTTTGTAAGAACCTCCTAGACTATATTCCAAAGTAGCTGTACCATCTTGCATTCCCACCAGCAATGAATGAGAGTTCCTAGTGCTCCACATCCACACTACCATTTGGTATTGGAGACAGTGTCTTTAAGATATAATTTGATTGAATTTGTGCTTGTGATAGATGTGGGTGGGAGATATAGCTTCAATCTCTGTATTTTGATGTAAGTGAGAAATTGGACTGGGGTGACAAAGATGGAAGTGACATCAAATAAATCCTCATTTTATAGTCAGAGTCTTTATTTAGGGACTCCTTGTTAGAATTTGTTTGGCTATTTTGATGTTAATTTTCATGAGCTATCTTAAAAAAATAAGGAAAATGATAGAGTTTTCTATTTCTGGGAATATTTTAAATATATCTAAAATACAAACTAATAGTGATAGTCTATTTAAATTTTTGAATTAGAAAACCAATATTAATTAAAATATATAATATCTTAACATATTAGTTTAATTTTAGTTGAAGACACTTAACCTCCCTGGATTTTAGTTTTATTACATCTAGTAAAACCTCTAATATTTCTTTCAGGTCAGAAAAACTAGCTTCATTTAGTCTAATATAGCACAAGGATGTATAATAAAAAATTTAGTTATCTAGATATGTGGACTCTAAAGTTGTCTGTAAATACTGGCCAAGGAAATATGAAGAACATATAAAACAATCAAATTTAAACATAGAAAAACTATCTGCCATATGTAACATGGCATATATATTTATGCATCTATAATTTGCTCTCTAAATTAGTGATGAACTCTATATTCTCATAAAAGTCTAACCATCAATTACTAAGGCTCATCACTTAATATTCTTGGACCACAATTTGCGCATCTTGAGGGTGGTGAATCTTCCAGTTGCCTTTTAGCTTCAAAGTTCTAACACTCTTCAGGACTACCAAAGAGAATTTGAATTGCCACATGGTACCTCAAGTAAGGTAGAGGAATATCATAGTAATTACTTATTCTTGCAGATTTTTCAAGAATGGGTAGTGTTTGGGGAAGCCAGATGTCTATGTTAATTTTTTATTTCCCACTTTGTATTTCTGCCATTGACTTAATAAAAATAAGTTGTTTTATAAATATCTTTGTAATTCTTTTTCAAATTTTAGTAGTCATGAAATCCTTCCTGATCCATCTGAGTCATCCATTAAATTTTACTTTTTAGGTTGTTAGGACATCGATGAGATGTGTAATTTTTTGGTCTAGGAATTTGAATGGATGTAGTGTTTTAATTGGTTGTAATAATATATGATATGGTAAATTTATAATCCACTTTTACATCTTCCGTGGAAACTTGAAACATTTTTTGACTTAGTACATGTCTTATAATGACCATCTTATTTGTGCATTTTGATATTTTTTCATTTTTATGTGGAAGCATTTCATGGGGCACTTTAAAATTTTGGTTGATTGTGTATAAATTTCCATAGATCTCATGCTGCTGACTTATCATGATGAAGACATTCTGTAAATTTTTTGTATTCTTGTCTGTGTTTTAAGTGTGCAAGTGAATTTTTTTCACTGCCCTAAATTCAATCCTAAGAAAAAAATTATTATTAATAGTCTCTGTGCTGGTATAGCATATCTCTAATTGTATTTTCATGTCATCCTTGTTGATGGTGTTCTGTGGTCAGCTGTGTTTATGCAAAACTTAGATTTGATAAATATCTAATCATAATTCATAATGATGCTACATTCTTGGTTTATCATAACAAGGACACAAAGTTTTGAATTATGTTTTTTCTGCTAGTGATATATTTGTACACATTCACTTCTAGGTTCCCTTAGGATTCCAGATGCAAACTGAATCTAAAATGTGCTGTTGTACATGAGACTCTGAGACATTTTTCTCTACAGAACATCAAAGAATTTTTATGGCATGTTCTCCTGGTAGCTAGCCAACAGTATACTGTGTAGTAAAATGACTCTACCTAGCATGTATAACACACTGGTTCTTGGGAATATTATAAATTCTTAGAACAATCTTTTCTTTTATTCTATAAATCGTTCACTAGGGACATTATTAGTATTACTAAGCTAAAAATGAAGGACAGTAATAATAGTAACAGTAATTTGGAGGTCATTGACTAAATCAGTATTTAGTGATTCCCCAAGTGATTCTGTACTTTCTTGAAGAAAGTGGTGCTGGATGAATACATGAATCAAAATGTTTATTTTAATGATCCTGCATCTCTGTTGTATCAACAATAAACTTTTCTGTTGATTCATTTTAAATATTAATATATGGGTAAATAGGAAAATAAAATCAGGTGTAATTTCTAAACTGCCTCTATTTTAATTGATTGCTAAAGAATGAGTAGCCAGAATTTTTAATGCAATTTTATATCAGTGTAATATAAATATAATAATAAACAGAAAAATAAATTAAATAAATGAATGGCACTCAATATATTTTCTAGTGACCTAGGTTCTGTGTAGAGGAAAGAGGGAGACATTATAGTTAGATGAATGTATTTGCTACTGAAATGGATATTTAGGGCATAGTGAAAGCCTCTTTTGCCTTTAGAGTGGGCAGAGTAATGATTTCTGGTGGAGGAAAGGCATGAGCAGGCTGCGTGCCTCCCCTGACTGTTCTAAGAAACCTCCTCTCTTGTATCACTTTTCCCAAGTTTTTTTCTTTTTTTTCTACACACAGTTGAACCTCGCACTGAGTTGGTGCCTCACTAGCTGGATTTCTAAACCATTCTGAGCTGGCATTTCTGGGAAGAGTAATCCAGTGATTTCTGGCAGGCATAAAGTTTACATGTGTGTGTGTATGTGGGGAGAAGGGAGTAAGGAACATGTGAAGTCTGTAGTTTGAAGCACAGAGAAAAGGAGAAACTTTAAATTTC